GTGTGGAATTCCTATCTCCCGATGCCCGGGACATGCAGTTCCATGGCGCTGGGCGGGTAGTTGATCCCGGTGATGTCGCCGAGATCACTTGTATGCAGCCTGCAGGTCTGCCATATCTGTACCCCATACTGCCATCCAGCGCAGCCCTGCGCTATAGATTTTGAATTTCGCTTGCAAATTGTGAGTACTCGTTTGTCAGCACAGTCACCTGACCGCACTGACCAATGAGAAGCGCTTCTTAGCACGGTTAAATACGGTTTTGGTTAAAATGATTTTTTGTATCACGACAAGTAGGTTGAACCTCTTTATTGTACAGAAACTCTTTACTCCACTGCACATATCCACTCATACGCAGTTCATCAAGCCCACCAATACACACTTATTACAGCTATGAAAGTAATAACTCTGACTTACTGTACGATGCCTCGGCTACTGTAACTGGTGTTGATTTTGGAGCAATCCGCTCAGCTAAGTGACACTCTTCCAAATAAGGGAATGAACTCTTCCGTGACATCGGCACCAAGATAAGGAAACAAGTTTCCTCCCAATTGACCAGAGATAATATTACGTCCTGAAAATAGAAAGAGCCAAAACTAAAAGTTATTCTTTCCATTTTCCACCCAAACTGAAATTTGTACATAGCAGTATGACACTATGCAACGCATTGGAATTGTTGGTACTGCCAAGCTCCCATAGCTGACAAATCGTGTTTCTTTTACTGATCTTGTTCACTTCTTTGTTGCCACTTTGCTTTTCTTTCACAATATTTAGCCATGCAAGTGGAGTTTTTCTATATAATGGATTTTTCTATATTTCTTTAGAATCCCTTTTCCTCTATTTCCTCTCTTCCCCTTTCTTTTCTGTGACATCATCTCAGGGATTGTGTGAATAAATGTCTTGATAGATTTTGGTATATCATATTCCCTGTGATTTTATTTATGCGATATATTCTAAACTCTTTGCACTTTATGATGATTGGGGTTTTTTTTTAGCACAAGGCATGATGTATTTGGTTGTACTTGACTGATTGCAATGTACCCCACTGATAAAAAAAATGTAACATGCATTTACCAGAAATAGAAAAACATAGACAGCGCTCTCGGATGGGGAGGCTAACTGACAAACGTGTGTGCAGCCCTGGGAACAGGAGGAGAACCTGTAAATGCAGATAAACAAAAGAACACGAAGGGCGCAACAGCAAACACTACAATGGAGCACTGGCTGGTTGGACTGGGATGTCAATGGCAGAGACTCAATGTGCTGATAAAGAATGAATGGCAGAAAATCAATGTAATGCTGCTTATATGTGGGATATATATAGCAGAAACTCAATTTACTGATAAGTAATTAGTGGCAGAGAATCAATGTAATAGTACTTACATGTGAAACCAGGGATCAGGAGATGGGCGGCCTGTGCGGAGGACCGAGACTCTCGTGGTGTCTTGTTGATGTGCTACTTGAGGAGGTTCGTCTATCAGGGAGGGATACTGTGAATGGAGAGAGGGGACTCTGTCCGTGGTGCCGCTGAGAAAGGGAGAACCAGGAGGGACCCAGCGGTAACGAGCCCAGAGTCAAGGTGCCCATACACTGCACGATTATCGTACTATAATCGTATGCGATCGGTTTTTCGCACAATAATCGCGCAGTGTCTGGGTAGCGTGCAACCGCGGATACTGTACAATCGTACGACGTTTGACTACCTAGCATGTTCGAAAACCTGTGCGTAATCGTTAGTCAATGATCGCACTGTGTGTTCAGCGCATGCGTTAAACAAACGAGCAATCGGAAGTAGAATGATGGCAGCTGGCTGTACTCGCAGCATCCACACCTCTGTTCTGGTACCCACATGGACCACTTGCTCAGCCATTGCTGGGGCTACATGTTGCGCACAGATGCAAGAACCAATGCTCACACCAAAATCCATATCTCCTCATGTAGCTGACACACATGCTGACCACTCCCCATGTGCACCACACATGAGGCTGCTGAAAGTGACCCCCTAATAATTGCAATGAACCACATGCAACGCAAACCATGCAACATGAATAACATGTCCATTCTCCTTTTGGAGACAATTTGATAAAAGTGAAATTGTCAAACATGCCCTACACATGTGTATGCTGTGTGTCCCTGGGCATGGTTTTTGCCTTTTAAAGGGCATGGTACGAATGATGACGCCCACTGCACGGGATCAAACGATTACTTCCGTCGGTCGATCGAAATCGTACGACAAGTCTATCGAGACAAGTTGGGTGCGTTGCACGATGATCGTACGATATTTCGATCGTCGAGGGGTATTATTTGTACGATTATCGTGCAGTGTATGGGCACCTTTAGGGTCCCCACACACCTTACGATAATCGTACGATAATCGCGGGAAATCCCGCGATCGTACGATTATCGTAAGGTGTGTGGAAGCCGTGCGACCTCTACTACTGTAAGGTTGCACAACTTTAAACTTACGGACATGTTCGAAAACCTGCCGAGCATCGTACGATGTTCGGCGGGTTTGTGGCATGTCCATACGATAACAGCCGTACGGGCCGCTGTGCACAAGCGCAAACTGCCCGTTCGGCATTGCGGTTATCGGAAGCCCGCCCCTCAGGGGGCGTGGCTTGCGAACATCGCAAGTACGATCTGCCTATGCAAGATAGGCAGATCGTACGTTTTTTTAAGTACCTTACAACCATCACAAGATGGTTGTAAGGTGTGTGCCCAGCCTTAGCTGCTGTGGCGGCGGTTAGGATTGACGGCACTCGGTCTAGGTCAGGTGTGCTGAGGACGGTGTGCAGGAGTCGGTGTGCAGGCGCAGCTGACAGATCCCGGGTGATCGGGTCATTTTTAGTGGAAAAAACTATTAAATTCAGCTAATTTCTGCTGTTGTCAAGGGAAGGCAAAATAAAAGTGTTTTTTTTTATATCTCTCGAGTGTTATAGAAGCTCCTTTTAACTGCCCTGGACCTGTTCTTGTGGCAACAATAGCCCCTGATTGGCCGTAATATTTTACTATTTATTTTAGAAAAAAAAGATGAGCAAAATATAAAAGTCACATTTTTTAAAATTGTTTCAAAGTATTTTATTAATTAGAAGGAGCACAACAGTGTTTTATATCGGGAAACAAGACTAATACACAATGAAACAGTCATCATCAACATGCCTGAAGAGCGAATAAGGACACATGTATGGACACATGCATTTTTTGCACGTTTTTTATGCGTTTTCTTGCATGGTGAGTTTATTTATGAGGAAGGTGAGATGGAGTTGATCTTGCTAGGGGGTGGGGCTTGTTGTAATGCACTAAAACATATGAAAATGCATGTTAGCCCATATTCACACTAGTGTATTTGCGTGAAACACGTGCAAAATTCTACATCTTTGTGCACATTCAAGAACTGCACAAAGTATGTGTCATTCTTGCAGTGCCCTTCACACTCCAAGTGTGCCAAGCAAGACACTCGTTTTGCACATGCACAGACGCACAGCACACAAAAGACACGCAGTTAAAAAAGCGTGCAAGTTTGAAAAGGCACATGAGCTTCTTTGACGCACTTGTCACGTGTAGGGCAGCCCACTGCAATGAATTGGCTGCCCTATGAGTGATGCATGACATGCGCAAAATGCACATAAATGAGGCAAAAGTAGCGCCTGCACCTGCTTTCTAAGGCCTCGCTCACACTTGCAGCACGCTTTACGTAATCTGAAGCCTATGGCAACCAATCAGCTTTTCCCTTTAGTTTGTTCAGTAAAGCTTTGAAAATGAAAGGGAGAAGCTGATTGGTTGCCATGCACCGCTGCTCCAGATTCTATCTGCTCCAGTTTTGATATATCCCCTCATTGTGTCTGTATGTCTTGCTGCACGTCAGCTCATTCATTTCAATGGGCCGCCCCCCTTACGTGCAATCAAGCAGCTCATGCAGCAGTTTATGTCACAGTCACACCATAGCATTTCGGGAATGCGAGTCATGTTTGCAAGCGTCACGTTCGCACACGCTCGTTTCATGTGAAAAACGGCAAAAAAGGTAATGTAGCAAATTTTACAAACGTGTTCTGCGCTTTTAGCGTGTGCGTTTTAATGCGTGCAAACACATAGGAAAAACGTGCATCTTCCTAGCTGCGTTTGGGATGCCATTTCTAATTAATGGAAGCTCAAGTTTGTTTGGCCATCTTTCCATTAATAGACGCCAAAACGTGTGTTTTTGTGCACGTTCATGGAATGTGCGGGTGTAAATGCGGCCTAAGCTGCGAGCTTCACGCGCCCTCGCCCATTTTTTTTGTGCGCCAACGTGTGGGCAGACACGGGTTTGCCTGCTGCGTTTGGAGTGCCACTAACAAGTAATGGTGCCGTAAGCGTGTCATGCGGTTTTCCCAATGCCAAAGTGCACACTTTGATGCACAATTACATGCACGGCAACAGTGAACCGTGCCTGAGACGCAAAGAAGCCTGTTGCATAGGTGTGAACGGGCTCCATAGAAAATAAAGGGATTCTTTTTGGTCGAAGCGTTTGGAATCGCCCAGGTGTGAACGGTGGAGATGGAACAATGTGATGTCCTTGTAATGCCGGTAAGTGCCCAATAGGTGGCAGTGTATTACCTGTGCAGCCAGCAAAGGAGGAGTCATCGCTAGAAGGAAGAAAAAAGTCCTTTCCCGAGCTAGGGGTGCGAGTCTCCCCTCGTATCCCGGAGCACCCTCATACACCGGTCTCTCTGGAAGACATCGGGGTGTACTGATCGCACAGACAACATTATCTGCATCTAGATCGGCTGCAATCTGCTCCCTCCGGAATGGACACAATGGTCTCCTTACAATGAGCACATAACCGGGGGGCTGATCTCCTGACACCGGACCCAGATCTCTATAGGAAGTGTCCTGACACCGATCCAAGTAGATCGCACAGCCCCGATCTGGATGAAGGGATTTGCAGCGTGTGCACTGTTTGTTCCTGGAGTCCCGGATCCGGATCATCTGACTGTCATTGGACAAGTTTATGACTCCTAATGGGATGTGATGCCAGCCTGGCAGTGCCCATGGGACTGAGCGCACTGCTATGGCTCTGAGCAAAGGGCTGAGGATTCACATCAAGCAGGATCCGCTCTGTTACAGCGTCCTGCTGGAGTCCCGCAATAGGGAGGACTGCCTTCTCTTCGAGTCAGGGACTGTGGCCACTCTGAGTAAGTACTGCCTACTGCTACTGTGTGCATCACAAGCTGCTGCTGCTCCTCATCCCTGGATCGTGTGCCATGGCATTCTATCCCAATACAGTGACCTTGCTGGGTGCAGTGTGGTGGGCACTGCATAGCATTCTAGGGCATGGAATGCAGCTGAGCATTGCCTGGCTTTGTAGGCATCACTTGGATGATGGTCAGCCAGTATCTAATTGATGGATAAGAAATGCTGAAACCTTGAAGATTTCTTTATTTTATAATAATGGCGCCATCAGTTGGGGTCATCGGCTTGCCGCAAGCCCATGCACGTCCCTACTGGTGGCTTTTGCACACCAAGCGGCTTCAAAGATCACCTAGAGTTTTGAGTAGTGATAAGTGGGGGCTCGGAGTGAATATAGTTTGCCCAAACCCCCTCAAAACTTTAACCAACACACCCCATCAATTAGTTGTGGCAGGAGCATTCACGGCCCACAGCTATATATCAGATAGCCCCAGCTGCAACTGCCACCACTGATTGAGCCGGAAAAGGGGGGGGGGTCACAGTTTTGAGCATGCTTGGGTTCACGCTGAGCCCATGCTCTTCTCTAGTTTTGCTAGGGACAGTGAGTTAGGAACTGAATCAGTGAGTATCCCAATTGTGGATAAGAGGTGCTGAAAGCCCTGAAGATTCTTTATTATGTAATAATTGTGTCATCGGTTCTCACCAAGTCCATGCACTTCCCATCTTGTCTTGAATTGTTTTGTGATTGTAATGTCTTCCTTATATTGTAAAGCGCTGCACAAACTGTTAGCGCTGTTTAATAACACTGGCAGCTTCTGCACACCGCAGGGCTTCCATGATCACCTTGGGTTGTGATGAGCCTGGGCTTGGTGGGAGATGGGTTTGTACCAAGCCCAGGCTTATCACTGGTTGACCTAATTCCTAAGTCACTCATCCCTATCACAGTCAGTATCCAAATTATGGAAAAGAAGTGCTGGGACCTTGAAGATTCTCTATTTTATAATAATGGCGTCATTAGTTCTCACCAAGTTCATGCCTACTGGCGGCCTTTGCGCACCACAGGGCTGAGCGAGTTAGAAATTGAATAAGTCAGTATCTGAGTGGTGGATGAGAGGTGCTGAAGATTCTTTATTTTATAATAATGGTGTCATCAGTTTGCACCAAGGCCATGCACATCCCTACTGGCAGCTTATGCACACCACAGGGCTTCCGTGATCACATTGGGTTGTGATGAGCCTGGGCTTGGTGTGAACCACGTTCAACTGCTAAGCCCTGATGAAGGGGGCCGAGGTATAGCTCCTAAAATGTGTTGGCTTCACAAACAATTTGCCACTGGATTTACCTTGTACTTGGATTTTAAATATTACAGTGCAGCCCTTCAATTCCTAACTCAAGTATCTGAGTGGTGGCTGAACGTGCTGTGTAACCGTCCTTACACAATAACTGCACTCTGTAACTCCTTCAGGTGAAGTTGATACCTGTAGTTGTATAGCTCAAACCTTTTTTTCGAGGGGGGGTGGAGTAGGGAAGGGTTAAACCCATGCCATGTCAGAGTTTTTCTTTCTTTCTTCTTTTGCTGTTTGTGTAGCATCGAGGAAAGTTCCCTTCATTTCGTGTCCCCCTAGCCGCAACAGGAAGTTAGAGGAAAATTCCCAAAGTGAGGGGCGTTCCTCTCTCAGGCGTTTGTCCCCAGAACAGGTGTCCCCATTAAAAGATTTCCTCTTATCTTTTGTTCTGGGGACCAGAAATTTTGGATCCCCCCACTTTATTTTTCGGTGACAGTAGCCATCAGTGCAAATAGAGGGGGGAATCCCAACAATGGAGATACAGCAATACAAACTGTAAGATGCTTGGAATGGGTTGGTACTGTACAATGTGCCGCAGTTGGCATAGAGATAAAAAAAAAAGTGCTAGCGGGTAAGTTTTTATGGCAGACTTATACATTCTCTTCTACCAAAACACCCGACCTGCTGGCAACAGGTTTACCTCTGCTTTAACTGTATCTAAGCCCAAAAAACAAAAATGTCATAAATTGCAGCTTGCCGCTCCATTCCTTTTCTCTTTTCAGGCTTCTTTTATCTTTTATTTTCACCTGGTTACTCTGCCATTAACAGACTTCCAGTCCTAGGTATCTATGAAGGAGTAGTATTGTGCTGTAGCTTTGGACTACAATCACCTCCCCTTTCTCTTCTCCATTACTTAAGCTGGCCATTCCCCTATAGATTATCTGTATATTTTCTATATTCTGTCGCACTTTTTCCATCTGACCATAGAAAATCTGCAGAAAACACGCAGGAAGCAACGCATACGCTACACAAATTGTCAATGCATACGGTCAGCCGTCCATTTAAAATTTAGTGAGGAACGTTGCTGAGCGGTTGTGGCTTCACAGACAAGCCGTCTGCTCCTGCCCTTAAAGGGCATTTCCATTCAATCTGGAGAGATTTCCTCTCTTGTGTTTCTTGGACAGAAAGTGAAGGAGAATCTTTCCGATGAGACACAGACAGCAAACATAACCTGATGGGGGTCTATACCCATTAATAATTCCCTCACTAGGATGGGGTTCTATTTAGCTAATGTTCATAAGCTCCATTCTATGGACACATTGTTGCAGCTGTATTGTGTATCCTGTGCTTGAAAGTATGCAGGTGAATGCATGCAACAAGGTAAACATTGGGCGGAGTGTGACATACAACACAAAGAAGCCACCTTTGCACCATAAAAGCAGAAAAGAGCCATATAAGCTCCATTTTCTGTATCCTAACTCGAGTGCTTGCAAATTGCCCCCGTACCTTAACTTTGCGGTGACCAGGCCTCACAGGCCACTGTGTAGTCTCCTCCTTCCTTCTCTCCTCACCTTTTGTATTTTACGCTTAAGGATATCCATTACACTTTGAGGAAGTGAGGAGAGCAGGAAGGGCTTCTCAACCTTTTTTTAGTCACAGCACCCCTAAAAGTATGCAAAATTTGAGGCACATCAGTCATAGATTTAAGGGGGACCACATACAAAAACAGACAAAAAAAGTGGTTTGCCCATTTCAATTCATGATCCGCCATCCCCTTCACATCACAGGTACCCTTTGCATCAGTAGCCCCCCCCCCC